TTATGATAATATTCAGCCATATCTTTCTACTAACATGGGTGAAACAGACTTGGTTTATTAAAATCTAAGATTTGATAATTCTCTTTCATAATATATGAGAATAAAACAACTGACACTGATGTAACCCTTGTAGAGTTTTTTTCTTTTGAATCAGGGTCTTGCTCTGTTGCCTGGGCTAGAGTGCTGTGACATCAACCTACCTCACAGCAACCTCAAACTCCTAGGCTCAAGCGATCCTACTGCCTCAGCCTCCCGAGTAGCTGGGACTAGAGGCATGTGCCACCATGCCTGGCTATTTTTTCTATGTATTTTTAGTTGGCCAATTAATTTCTTTCTATTTTTAATAGAGACGGGGTCTCACTCTTGCTCAGGCTGGTTTCGAACTCCTCAACTTTAGTGATCCATTCGCCTCGGCCTCCCAGAGTGCTAGGGTTACAGGCGTGAGCCACCACGCCTGGCTGTAGAATTTTTTTACAACACCTTTTTTTTAGATATATGTACTTCCTGATAAGCAGAGATTGTGTAATAGTGACCTATTAAGGGCAAAGAAGTTTCTATAAAAACACCCAACTGGTGGTTTACAGTGTCTACTGCATGCACAGTTTCAGTTAGTTATTCAAGTCATTACTTTTGTTTTTCAGAAAAAGAAAACTAAGTAGAACATCATGGCAAGTCCAGACTGGGCATATGATGGCAAAAATGGTAAGAGTTCTTCTGTTCACATAGATCTAAATAATAACTTATTTCCTTTTCCAATAGAAGAGGTATTAAACATTTAAAATAACTATACCATTATAGGTTAATTGTTTGAATCGCTGGCTTTGAATAATTATAATATCTTTGCATGTATTCTTAACAGTTGTCCATGGGCCATTCTTGTCTGCAAAATGTGTTTGATTTATATTTAGGTCGCTAAATATGAAATGTCTTATTTTGAATCAAAAGTGTAGTTTATTATATTTCAAACAAGAAACAGTATGATCAAAGTACATACCTAAACACAGTTTTGCCATCTTAATGGTAGCTTGCTTATGCCAGCAGCAAAGAAGACTGGACAGTGAGTGGCAATGAAATCATGAAAGGCGCTTTCCACAGCTTGTTGAAAATTGAATATTTTTCCTTGTAAGAAGTGGTCCAAAGCCTGGAAGAAGTGGTAGTCAGTTGGTGCAAGGTCTGGTGAATATGGTGGGTGACAGAGAGTTTCCAGGTCCAGCCTCCATAGTTTGAGCAGCATCATTTGTGCGCTGTGTGGTCAAGTGCTGTTGTGAGAGGATTCTCCTCTCTCTATAACAAATCTTGGCTGCTTAATCACAGGCATCCCCATCATTTCCTCTAATTGTCTGCAGTAGACATTTGCTATAATTGATTGACCAGCTTCTATGAAGCTGTAGTGGATAATACCAGTGCTGAACCACCAAACAGACACCATTAGCCTTTTTGATGAATATTCGATTTTGGACTGTGTTTTGGCACTTCGTCTTTATCCGACCACTGTGCCAAACACTTATAATTATCAAAAAGAATTCATTTTTCATCACACATAACAATACGGTGTAGAAATGGTTCACCTTTATGTCGTGATAGCAAAGAAAGGCAAGCTTTGAGGCGATTTCTTTTCTGACACTCGTTTAATTCATGCAGAACCCATCTATACAGCTTCTTTACCTGGAACTTCTCAAACCATCGACTTACTATGTGTTCATTAGTCACATCTTTCCCACTTTGTTGACATTTTGAGCTGTCTACACTGCATTGGTTCCACAATGGAACTCATATTCAAAAATAACACAATTTTTTTACTTATTCATGGTTTCACAAAAATTGCTCTAAAAAAAATTGGAAAGATAATCACAGGCCATCCTATGCATTTGCTAGACTGAGGATGTACCTTCACAATGAAAATAAAACAAGAAGTGTCAGAGTGAAATGTCAGAGGTATCAACTGACAGACATAGTACTTAAGGAAATCAGACATTTCATACTTAATAACCTAATAGATACATGCATGCCTCGGAGATATTGTGGATTCAGTTCCAGACTGCTATAATAAAGTGAATATCACTCAAAGCTATTGGCACAAATTTTGGGGTTTTTCAGTGTATATAAAAGTTATGTTTATGCTATACTGTAGTCCATTAAGTGTGCAATAGCATTATGTCTAAAAAAAGTACATACCTTAATTAAAAAATATTTTGTAGGCCAGGCGCCTTGGTTCATGCCTGTAATCCTAGCACTCTGGGAGGCCGAGGCGGGTGGATTGCTCGAGGTCAGGAATTCGAAACCAGCCTGAGCAAGAGTGAGACCTGTCTCTACTATAAATAGAAAGAAATTAATTGGCCAACTAATATATATAGAAAAAACTAGCCGGGCATAGTGGCACATGCTTGTAGTCCCAGCTACTTGGGAGGCTGAGGCAGAAGGATCGCTTGAACCCAGGAGTTGGAGGTTGCTGTGAGCTAGGCTGAGGCCACGGCACTCACTCTAGCCCGTGCAACAAAGCAAGACTCTGTCTCAAAAAAAATAAAAAATAAAAATACTTTGTAGCTAAAAAATCTAACAAGCATCTGGGCCTGCAGTGAGTCATATCTTTTTGCTGGTAGAGGGTCTTGCCTCAAAGTCGATGGCTGCTGACTGATCATGGTGGTTGTTGCTGCAAGATGGGGTGGCTGTAGCAATTTCTTAAAATAAGACAACAGTGAAGTTTACCACATCAATTGACTCTTCTCTTCATGAAAGAGTTCTCTGTAGTATGCAATGCTTGATAGCATTTTACCCACAGTATAACTTCTTTCAAAATTGGAGTCAATCTTATCAAACCCTGTTGCTGCTTTATTAACTAAATGTACATAATATTTTTAATCATTTGTTGTTATTTCAACAATATTCACAGAACGTCCACCAAGAGTAGATTCCATCTCAAGGAACCACTTCCTTTGCTCAATCATGAGAAGCAACTCCTCACCCCTTAAAATGTTATCATGAGATTTCAGTAATTCAGTTACATCTTTAGGCTCTGCTTCTAATTCTGGTTTTATTGCTCTTTCCACCACACTTTCAATTGCTTCCTCCACTGAAGTCTTGGACTTCTCAAAGTCATCCATGACAACTGGAATCAACTTCTTCCAAACTCCTCTTAATATTTGATCATTTGACTTCCTTTCATGAACCACCAATATTCTTATGGGCATCTAGAATGGTGAATGCTTTCCAGAAATTTTTCAATTTATTTTGTCCATATTTATCAGAAGAATCGATATCTACAGCAGCTATAAAATATATTTCCTACATAATAAGACTTGAAAGGAGAAATTGCTCCTTGATCCCTGGGCTACAGAATAGATGTTGTGTTAACAGGCACGAAAACAACATTAATCTCCTTGTGCATCTCCATCAGAACTCTTGGGTGACCAGGTGCATTGTCAATGAGTAGTAATATTTTAAAAGGAATCTTTTTTGTGAGGAATAGATCTCAACGGTGGGCTTAAAATATTCAGGAAACCCTGCTGTAAACAGATGTGGTATCATCTAAGCTTTGTAGTTCCATTTATAGAGCACAGGCACAGGAGATTTAGGATAATTTTTAAGGGTCCTAGGATTTTCAGAATAATAAATGGGCATTGGCTTTAATTCAAAGTCACCAGATGCATTAGCCCCCATTAAGAGAGTCAGCCTGAGTTTTGAAGCTTTGAAGCCAGTCATTGACCTTTCCTCTCTAGCTAACAAAGTCCTACGTGGCATCTTCTTCCAAGAGAAGGCTATTTCATCTACACTGAAAATCCATTTAATGTTGCCACCTTAGTCAGTTATCTAATCTATATCTTCTGGACAACTTGTTGCAGGTTCTATATTAGCACTTCTGTTTCACCTCACACTGTATGTCATGGAGATGGCCTCTTTCCTTAACCCTCATGAACCAATCTCTGCTAGCTTCAAACTTTTCTTCTGCAGCTTTCTCACCTCTCTCAGCCTTCATAGAATTGAAGAGAGTTAGGACCTTGCTGTGTATTAGGCTTTGGCTTAAAGGAAGGTTATGGCTGTTTAACCTTCTGTCCAGATCACTAAAACTTTCTCCATACAAGCAATAAAGCTGTTTTGCTTTCTTATCATGTGTCTGTTCACTGGAATAGCACATTTAATTTCCTTCAAGAACTTTCCTTTGTATTCAGAACTTGGCTAACTGGTGCAAGAGGCCTAATTTTTAGCCTGTGTCAGCTTGTGGCATGCCTTCCTCACTAAGCTTAATCATTTCTAGCTTTTGATATAAAGTGAGAGAGGGGTGACTCTTCCTTCACTTGAATACTTATGGGTCATTGTAGGATTATTAATTGGCCTAATTTCAATATTGTTGTGTCTTGGGGAATAGGGAGGCCCAAGGTGAGGGAGAAAAAACAGCCAGCCAGTGAAGCAGTCAGAAAACACAAAAAACTTATTGATTAGTTTTGCCATCTTATATGGGCACAGTTAGTGGTGCCCCAAAATAGTCATGATAGTAACATCAAAGGTCACCATAAAAGATATAATAACAGTAAAAAAATTTTTGAAATATTGTGAGAATTACCAAAATGTGATACAGAGACACAAAGTGAACATGTGCTATTGAAAAAATATCTCTAATAGACTTGCTCAATACAGGGTTGCCACAAACCTTCTATTTGTTAAAAAAAAAGAAAAGAAAAGAAAAATCCAGGATTTGTAATAAAATTCAGCAGAATGAAATGAGGTATACTCATATTAGAAATATATTACTAATAGTAAAATATTTATACTCTGATCCTATAGACTATGAGCATAGACCTGTAGTACTAGTGTTGACAAATATACTGTTTTAGAATATGGTATAAAAAAAGGACATTCTCAAACACAGAATTTCCATTAATCTAAACAATATCATTTAGGGCACCTACATAAACTCTAATCTAATAGTTAAGCAGGTAGTTATACTCCTAAAACTCGGAATCAAGCATTTGGTAAGGTTTCAATTTTATGCTTATGTTTGTCCTGGTAGGTCCTGAACACTGGAGCAAGCTATATCCCATTGCTGATGGAAATAACCAGTCTCCTATTGACATTAAACCCAGTGAAGCCAAATACGACGCCTCTCTGAAGCCCATCAGTGTCTCCTACAATCCAGACACAGCCAAAGAAATTATCAACGTGGGACATTCCTTCCACGTAAATTTTGAGGACAGTGATAATCGATCAGGTGAGCCAAAAGAACCTTCTGATATTTGTTTTCTTAGACAGCTACTGGGGAAATTAAAGCAACGGGACTTGAGAAACACAATGCCCACCTTTTGTGCTATGTGTATGTAACATTGCCACATTCTGATGAGGCATCTTGGACTTCTGGAAAATATCCAAGTGGTAAATATGATTTTGGGAACTCCCAGCTCTGTCTTTTTTCAGTCCTTCTCAATGCCACCATTCCATCTTTTCTGGCCATTCCAGTATCTTAATGTTCATTTCACTCTCTCCAAATAAACAGTGTTTTCCGAAAAAGTCCATTGAACCAGTTACTATAAATATAAAAACTGAAAAAGCAGGCCTGGTGCAGTGGCTCATGCCTGTAATCCTAGCACTTTGGGAGGCTGAGGTGGGAGGATCTCTTGTGGTCAGGAGTTCATGACCAGCCTGAGCAAGAACAAGACATGACCTGTACAAAAAAACAGAAAAATTAGCCAGGCATTGTGATATGTACCTGTAGTCCAAGCTACTCAGGAGGCTGAGGCTGGAGGATCACTTGAGCCCAGGAGTTTGAGGTTGTAGTGAGCTAGGATGATGCCAATGCACTCTAGTCCAGGCAAAAGAGCAAGATCCTGTCTTAAAAAAAAAAAAAATACTAAAAATGCAAATATTTTCTAATTGGGATAAGCTTGGATGGGCATAGTAGAAAAGAGATATAGGGAAGTGACTGAATTATCCTCAAATCCCAGAATCTGGCACATTTCCTGCAGCATACTCAGCTTTTCTTAAAGGTTATTGAATAATTTATTAAATAGCCATTCCTAAAAACAGTTCTACCACTGACTTAAAAAGCCAAACTTGTTTTAGCACTTCTCTATGAGGTTCTGAGCCTAAATTTGAGGCATATTGGAGCTATGTTAACAATTAATATTATATTCGATCTGGCATTATATGTGTTTAATTACTCATATGATTGGGTCAACTCTCCAGATGATAGGGCCATTCAGAGTTAAAATTTTAAAAGTGACCCCACTGCCCCACTGGCACTTTCTCTTAGTCCCTGACCAGGAATTTTTAACAAAGTTGTCAAGAAACAATGTTGGGTCTTCACCGGTTACAAAATAGGTGATGAGTAATTTGTTAGTCAAAATAAACTACTAAAGATTTTGATGCATACTGCCTATACAGTCTTGTTGAAAGAATGAATGAATAAACTTGCAAATTAAAGGAGATTCAAAGAAAGTCCTGTAATCATACAATGCATTTACCTTAGAATATGCTTTCTTGGAGTCAGAAATAGGTAATATTACAGCTCATGTGCTCGGATTTGCATATAACTCATGGAATATCTCATCAATACCATAGTCAGGGGTATACCATATATATGAATGCCATCATCATAGATGTGGAGGAAAAAACATAATGAAAGTTTTGGCACTAGCGTTTGTTTTCATTTCTACTCAACACAATTTGGTGCTGGTTTATATTATATGCAGAGATAAGCAGGAACTTACAATCCTAAGGCTAACAGTGGGGTCCCTTTTCTTCCAGTGCTGAAAGGCGGTCCTCTCATTGAAAACTATCGGCTCTATCAGTTCCATTTTCACTGGGGCAGTACGAATGACTGTGGTTCTGAGCACACAGTGGATGGAATCAAATATGCTGGAGAGGTAATGTCATTTTGTAAGTGAAAGATGATTATACTGTGCAGTAGTATAAAGTGCAGTAGCTCCCTTACATCATGACAGCGTCATACTGACGTCAAAGAAATTAGCATTTTGATTTCTGTAAGGAATCTCCAGGCTCCATTAAAATCAAACACAGACTCTCCATGTTTGGGAATAGAGGGAAAATTTTCAAATGGAAAGAGGCAGCTGAACTTTGAGCAAAACTCCTGAGTTCAAGATTCACGCTTTCTTGAGAAAGCCTCAAAAATTATTATCTTGACATCATGCTGGCTTCAAGGGGTGGTACTGCTCTCCTTTATAGCTCCAACCTCAAGTGGAATATAACACCTTTTCTTTTTTATTTAGATGTTCAAGTTTGGGCACACCAATAGCATGGATGTGGCCAAGCTGAAACACTCAATAAAACTCTACTAAGAGCTCGAGTTTAATCATAGCAATGGTCACAGAGAGCAGCATACACCAGATGAGAGTCTGAGGTCCCTGGCTGCAGGCCACCACCTTGTGGCCTCTTGACCTGCCCTCACATGGAAGTTGGTGATCTATTTCAAGACAATATTGTCTGTATATCCATAGAGAAATCAGATACATGCAAAAAACGGTGAACAGAAACTCTGGGAAATTGAAATGGGAGAAATTTTACTCCTTACTTTGAATGTATGAATTATATAATACACATGCACCCAGATAAACAGGTTGACTTTTTAATTTTATTTTCATAAAATGAATTTTATAACATACATAGTTTTGCAACTTGCTTTTTTCCACCCCACTTACCAATTTATAATGATCATTTTTCCAAGTCAGAATATTTGTTTCCACCTCATTCTTCTATGACAGTATTTCATTTGGGTGAATATATCAGAATTTATGTAACTGGACCCTGTTGATGAGTGATCACAATGTCTTCTGATTTTTGTTCTATTGGGGTTGTATGTGTTTTTACAAAAAAAAATAATGCTTCAATGAATACATCTGTAGTTACAACTAATGAAAGCAATTATATAAGATAGATTTTTACAAGATGTAGAGCTAGGTTATAAAGTATGTGTGTCTTTTATTCTGATAGAGGATTTGGAGGTTGTATATAAATATTGCTTTATGTTATGTCATAAAGCATCGCTAATACCTTTCAATGCTATGGAAATCTATTTAACAGTTTTTCCCTATTTCTACTCCATAAAATTGAAGGTAGACTAAAATCAAATGCTCCAGGAGCCTAAATTAGCATTATCTTTGTGGAAGGATAGTTGGTAGTATCCAAGAAATCTAAATCAGTGATCCTTTTATCTAAATGGAGAAAAATAAAAATAATCCAGGACAGAGATGATAGATACTTAGCTACAAAGTTCAACATGTGATTCCATTCAACTCAATAAACTTAGTTGGGCTACCTGTGATGCACTAGGTTGAGAGGCAGTACAGCCTAGTAGTTAAGAACGCAAGCTTCTCAGCTGACTGCCAGGATTTGAATCAAAGCTCTGCCACTTGCTAGTTGTACAACTTTGGACAAATCACTCTGTACCCCAATATTTTCATCTGTAGAGTCTAGATAATATGATACTAGTATCTATCTCATACAGTTGTTGAGAGGTTAAAATGAGTAAATTCATATGAACTAACATTTAGACCAGCACCTTTCACATTGTACGTGCCCAGTAATGTTACTTACATTTCTGTGGATAAGCACTCCTCAGCACTCCAGAAAGCAAGCACTCCTCAAGCCGGGCAGTATAGGTATAAATGATTGTGATTAAATAAACATATTACTAAATAGCAGTATATCTATTCACAAAGCACCATGGGAATATAGTTGTAAGAATCATTAATTAAGAGTAGGTACAGAATCTAGACTGGAAATTACAATAAGAAGTGATATGTCTTAATATATTATTTTAATAATTCTTTTTTTCATTCAACAAATATTCACTGAACATTTACAATATGCCAGATAATGGTTTTTAAAAGTATTTGATATTAGATCTTGCATTTGATAAGGGAAAGAAAAAATAAAAAAGAAGGAAAAAAAGGAGAGTGGGAGGGATGGAGGAAGGGAGGGAAAGAGAAAGGAAACAAAGAAGTAGAGAAGGAAAAAAAAAAGAAGTAGAGAAGGAAGAAGAGAGATTAGATAAATAATATGGGAAAAAATGATTTGATTTATGGTGATTCCTTTATACTGGATGAACAGAAAAAGATTATTTGAGGAGTGGCGTTTGAGCTCAGCCCTAATTCAAGGCATAAGCCTGCAGTTCAAAGACTATGGAGAAGAAGATTCCAGAGAAAATCAGCAGCTAGTGTGAAGACTCAAACTTGTGAAAAGTGAAGAGATATAATCTATAAGACATGGATGCTAATAGGTGGGGAAAGTAAGAAATTAATGATAACTGTCATACTTTTTGACTAAGCAATTAGATGAATGGTGCTACCTTTTCCTAAGAAGGGAAAATCAAGCAGGTTTGGCAAGGAGGAAATCTAGGGTTCTATTCCAGCCATGTTAAGTTTGAGATGTCCATTAGACATCCATGTAGAGATATTAAGAAGATATTAAGAAGACATACATACATACTTGGATGTACAAGTCTGGAGTTCCAGAGAAAAGTTAGGCTGGAGATTCTGATTAGCGAGGTGCCTGGAAAGGACACTGATGTGCCCAAGACAATCTGACCTTGACCATGACTCCCAAGGTCATGAAGTTACTACTGTGAAGGATCTTATGTGAGAGAAAATTATTCCAATTTTTTTCCTAAAGCTAGTCAGCTTTCCTGATCTTTTGATACCAAAGAGAAGCATTTTTTTTAAAGGAGTAATATTGAATAGTTAATGATACTGTAGGAAAAAAGACTTCTTACTAGTTCCAGAATTTGCAAATCTACTTATTCTACTCCACACATGGATAATCCTTTTCAAGAGTGAGAATATAACCCTTCCAATCCACTGGATAAAGATTTTTATAAGTTTTATCTACCTAAGCTAAGTATACAAGTAACTTGTATACTTATCATTTGCCTTTTGTCTTCACACTGGTATAAATAATGAATTAACTATTTAATCATTTTTAGCTTCACATAGTTCACTGGAATGCTGCAAAGTATGCCAGCATTGCTGAAGCTCTGTCAAAGGCTGATGGTTTGGCAATTATTGCTGTTTTGATGAAGGTGAGTTACAGATAGTTACACACCTTTGCCTATACTATTTCTTACCAATCAGACCTCAAACTAGGATGAAATAAGGCAACAGATTATTGAGCCTTTCTTTCTGGAAAATTCCCATCCTACTAGTGACTGCAGGTGAACAAGTAGTTCCCTTGTACTCTGTCACTTGGTTTTCTCTCTGCTTTTCCCTGTTAAGATAGAAATAAATTTCAGGTGAGGGTGAAATAGGAAGATGTTAATGGGGGTAAAAAGAATTTTTATTGTCCAGCTCTTCCAGATTCCCTCTTCTCTAAATTTTCTGTCATCTATTCAGGAAATTATCAATTTAATATCCCATCAGGGAAGAAATGTTAAAAGGATTTTTTTCCCCATAAAGAAAATTCAGTTGATTTTTTAAATGGCAGATGTTGCTCAAATCTTCCATAGAAGAATCCCTGAAAAGTTCTATGAGAAAGTTACATTAACTATGCTTGGGTAACTAAGTAACTTTTTGAACTATAGTAATTCTAGGTAACCTTTATCAAACACTTATAATATGCCAAAACCTATACTTATTATAACTAATAGAATGGACCAAAAGTAAGAGGTTTGTATATTGTATCACAGTTTTGCTAAATTTCTAGATTTTTCCTTGTATTATTTTGAATGTCTTGCTCAAATTTAAATCAAGCTTTTTGTTACTTTATCTGTAGTTGTACATAATGGACAATTTATAGAGTACAAAGGCCCATAAAGATAAACACCTTGCAAAATTTCCTTTTCTAAAGCAGAGAGAAAACACCTTAGCTCACATCAGTTAAAAAAATTAAAAACTTAGCTAAACGGGGTTTGATAATAATCGTTATTTCATACTTTATTTTTTTTTAAAATCTTCAGGTTGATCAGGCCAACCCAAAGCTGCAGAAAGTACTTGATGCCCTAAGTGCAGTTAAAACTAAGGTAAGTAGATAAATCAGTTAGTTTAAATCAGAGAAAAAGAATTCACTACACTATGGAAATGATTTCATTATATATTTGAAGTGGGGAGTAGGGAGACTGGAGCAAAGGCTCCCAATGTGAAAATCAAGGTACAACTTAGATATTGCCTGCTTCTGAGAAAGTCTTTGATGCAGGGATTTGTTTTGTTTTTTTGTTTTTCATAGTTATTGCTTATTGATTTCAGTAGGATATGGCCTGTGGAAAAATGGGTTGCCATTTTGAACAGCCATTCAAACTTGATTGATACTATGCTTTGAAGAAATAAAAAAAAAAAAGAAAAAAGAAAAAAGAAATAATAAACAAAGTTGATTGAAAACCTTTATCCAAATGCAATGTGAATTATTTTCCATTTCTTGAAGGAAAACATCCTTTTTTAGTAATACAAAAATTCAAGAATTAATCACATTCTTTTGAAATGCCATTAATATACAATATTTGATAACCATTGTTCCCACTGTCACCTTAAAAGACAGATGGATTTTCTGATATATCCAAGCTTCACATTACTGTTTTAAAAGAAAATATTGAAACCGTAAGTCAGAGATTTGTCATTCTTGTGCATGGTGTGGAGGACTGTCATATTTTTACATAAAATAAAAACGATTTGTGCTGATCCTAGAAAAGATTAAACTTTAAATGCATGTATTATCAAGTGAGAATGACAGAGATAAAAATAAGCATTCAACTCAAAAATATAAAAAATAACAACATATGAAAAATAGAAGAAAATAGTGTGACAATAAAAGCAGAAAATAATAAAATAAGAAAAATGATAAATAAGTACAAAGTAAAATTTTATCAATGAAATGAAAAGTTGATTCTTTAGAAAAACCAACAAAAAAAAGGCAGACTTTTGGCATGCTTGATAAGGGAAAAAGGGTATGCATATGAAATATTTTTAGAAATAAGAAATGTGGGCAGAGCGCGGTGGCTCACGCCTATAATCCTAGCTCTCTGGGAGGCTGAGGCGGGTGGATTGCTCAAGGTCAGGAGTTCAAAACCAGCCTAAGCAAGAGCGAGACCCTATCTCTACTATAAATAAAAGAAATTAATTGGCCAACTGATATATATAGAGAAAATTAGCCAGGCATGGTGGCACATGCCTGTAGTCCCAGCTACTGGGATGCTGAGGCAGAAGGATCGCTTGAGCCCAGGAGTTTGAGGTTGCCGTGAGCTAGGCTGACGTCATGGCACTCACTCTAGCCTGGACAACAAAGCAAGACTCTGTCTCAAAAAAAATAAAAGAAGTAAGAATTGTGATATAACTAAAGATATAGAAGAAAGTTTTAAAAGATAAAACTACATTTGAAAATTTAGATAAAATGAATGGTTTCCTAAGAAAATGCAGAGTAAGAGAATTGACTCAAAAGGATTTAGAAAATCTAAATAGACTGAGAACCTAAAAATAAATTGAAAAGATGGTCAAAATGTATCTATTAAAAGAAAACCCTAGACCCAGATCATTTTATGAGAAAATGTTACTCAACCTTTTAGAAACAATAATGTTAACTAAACTGCCCATAAAAGGGAACAGACAGAAAACATCCCATCAGCTTAATGAAATCTAATACCAAAACAGAGTAAGAAAACTGCAAAAAACAAAAACAAAAAACACAATAGGCCAATCTTTCTTAGGAATATAGCTAGAAAATTCTAAAATTAATTATTGCAAATCAAATTCCACAGAATATTAAAAGGGTAATGTTTCTGAAATAGTAGAGTTTGTCCCAGAAATACAAGGGTGGCTCAATACTAGAATATCTCTTGATATAATTCATTATATTAACAAATTAAAGATGAAAAACCTTATCATCAACTTTTTAGATGCTTAAAAAGCATTTGACAAAATTCAATGCCTTTTCCTGATGATAAAAAATAAAACTCTCCGAAAACTGGAATTTGATCAAGAATTTCATCTAAAAACTTAGATCAAACATCAAACTTCATAGTGTAACATTTGCAGCATTTCCATTGTAATTATGAACAAGACCAAAGTGTCACTGTGACCATCGCAATTGAAAGTTATAATAAAGGACCTAATCAATACAATAAAATAATGGAAGAAATAGGAGTACATATTAGCATAGATACTAGAAAAGCAAAGACAAAACTATCATTATGTGCAGATGATATGATTATTGATACCTATCTGAAAAATTCAAAAGAATCAGCTAAAAACAGAACCAATGTAAAAGTCTTGTAAAGTTGATTGCATAAAAGATTACCATACAAATACCAGTACATTTTCTATACACCAATAAGAATCCATCAGAAAAGATAATGGGAATAAATATAAAATAATAAAACTAAATGTAACCAATATACATATCAGTAAGTATCCTTGCCATTAGAACAGAATCTGGCATCATTGCTAAAGAAACCAGAAATGCTTTATACTGGAAATTAAGTATCTTTTAAAGAACATAGATTGTAAAAATTTCTTTGAAGCTTTGCTTCTCTTCATCCAAATGAAAATGAAGGAAAATTTCTTGGTCAAAACTTACGTGTAGCACATTTTTCATCTTTTCTCTTCTGTTGCTTTTATTTTATCCACAAACCAGTCATGAAATACCAAATAGTAAAAACATCAATTAAATTTTAGCTAAAATCTCTAGATAATATATAACAAGATAATATAACATTCATATCACATGTATTGATAGCAGTATTTTATATCATGATCTATAGTATATACTTTTCTTTTTCTTCCAGGGCAAACGAGCCCCGTTCACAAATTTTGACCCCTCTATACTTCTTCCTTCATCTCTGGATTACTGGACCTACCCTGGCTCTCTGACTCATCCTCCTCTTTATGAGAGTATAACCTGGATGGTCTGTAAGGAGCACATCAGTGTGAGCTCAGAACAGGTAGAGTATCAAAGGCGAATGAGTGGAAACTGGAAATGCAAAGCAGGAATATCACTTCAATTAATAGCGTCAGTAGGGGAGATTATTATTTCAATTAGGTTTGTGAGAAGTTTATTTTCCCCTCCAATTGAAAATGATTAATTTCTGGCATAGTTCTATTGTATTATCCAAAATGTGCATTATAATACTATTCTTATTTTATGCAGAAAAAAATAAGAGAGTCAGAACTCCCACCATTCTTTCCTCCTTAAAAAGTTAAAATTCAGCTTTGTCAAACATCTTATTAAGGGTTTCAGAAGCAAAAGAAAAACTGTGACTGGAAGTTTCCCCAGGACTTTGGGAAATTGTGACTCTCAACCAACATACCTTGACAGTTGGCAAACCGTTTTTCTTCTTTTTTTTAGAGTTTAAGCTTTGAAGTATCCAACAAAATGTCTCATTAATTGCTGTCTATAATAATGATGACAATAATTATCATTGATTGAGCAACTACTTTTATTAGGTGTCTTGCATGTGATTTGTCTGCTAATTCTAGTAACACGCCTACAAGACAAGCACTGTAGCCTATTGCTGTCATATATTGAGCACATGCTATACACACATCATTCCAAGTACTTTACAGCCATTAACCCATTTAATCTTCACAACAACACAATGAATAAGGTACTATATGGAAACTGAGCCACTAAGATGATAAGTCGCTCGCTCAAAGGACCCCAGTTGAAGTGAGGAAGTTGGTATTCTAACCCAGTCAACCATCAATAATTTAAGCAAAATGCCTAGTTCAAAGGAATGTGAATGGTTCGGGGCTTCCTCCCTTCCCACTGGTGAAACCTCAGTTTTCTAAATACCAGAGCATCAATAATACTAGAAGTAAAGTACTTTGTAGAAGTTTAATAACTTGATTTTTTAAATATTTCATCCTTCTAGCTGGCACAGTTCCGCAGTGTTCTGTCGAATGTCGAAGGTGAGAATGCCGTCCCCATCCTGAACAACCACCGCCGGCCCCAGCCTCTGAAGGGCAGAACAGTGAGAGCTTCATTCTTATGAGCCCAAGAAGGAACTTCCCCTTCCTCAAGAACACAGCCCTGCTTCTGACATAATCCAGTAAAATAATAACTTTCCAGAACCAAACTTATTCCAGTGCTAGCAAGACAACATACCTGCAAATTTAATCTGTAGAACTAAAAAACTTTAATTTTAGTTCTTAAAGCTTATGTTCTCAAATACTAACCTGTACGCTTTCAAATAGTAATCTGTAAGCATAAGTTTATGCCTAAATTCAAGTTTATTTTGTGGAATTCTTCATAATTATAAACAATCAAATGATTTGTATCTCTTCCTATTTTGTTCAGTTTAGTTTTTTTTTTATATATTAAAATTTTTTTTTATTCCTTTATTTTTTTTTTTTTTCATTTTCAGTTGGCCAATTAACTTTTTTTTTTTATTTTTTATTTTTAGTAGAGACGGGGTCTCGGCTCTTGCTTGTTCAGTTTAGTTGAATCAATAAAATAATTTTATCTTTCCTTTTCGCCTGTTGTGCACTCTATTTTTAAAAACTAAGTTTCTACTCCATTTACATTCAAAAATCATAAATGCCTTACTTGCAAGAGTATTTTGCCTCAAATGTAATGACCTAAAATCAGCTCGAGATGAAATACTGAGAACCTAAGATCAGCTTGAGATGAAATATTGAGAAATTCATTTGCTTACTCTTGAAGGCAAATACATAGCGAAGATGACAACTGGATTGAATATTATTATTCTGACCCAACATTTCTACCATTTCTGTTCTTCGTGATAAAAACGATATCTTTTATACAGAAAGATGATGCTTCTCTGGATATTGCTTTCATTTTTTTCTCCCCCCATTAGCAGGGCCAATGTTTTTCTGCCATTATTATAACTAGTTCAGTTTGCATGGAGAATCTTTACCTTAAAATTGCAAGTCACAAGTGAATGGTTTATCAAAATGCTGACAGAGTCATTTGGGCTTAGAATCATACAGAAACAGCATGCAATCTTTTAGTCAGATGTACATTTAATCTCAAGCTAATTCCTTTTTTTATTTTTTAATTGGCACATACTTATTGCACATTTATGGGGTATAGTGTGATATTTGGATTCATGCATATAATGTGTAATGATCAAATCAGGGTCATTAAAATATCTATCACCTAAGCATTTATCATTTCTTTGTGTTGAGAATATTCAAAATCCTCTCTTTTAGCTATTAGAAAATATATTATACAATAAGTTATTATTAACTATAGTGACCCTACAGTGCTATAGAGCAATTGAACTTATTCCTCCTATTTAGCTGTAATTTATTGAAGCCAGTTCTTTCTGAAGCCATATCTACATCCAGAATTCTGCAAATCTGGTGCCCAGTGTTTAGTCTTAAAATTTACTTTAGTTCTCTAATCTGAAATATTAGAGACCAAAGCCCATTCTAAAGTTCTTGTCTTGTCTAATATAGCAGAATTAGTCAAAACTTCTAAATAACTAAATCAAAGTTAAGAAGGCAAACCAAACAGACTCTTGCTCAGAGGGAGACTTTATATAAAGGCTGTTTGTTTTGCACCTATAGACCATACTAAGAAACTTCTTTGAAGTATTTGATTTGGGGCCGAAAACTTAAGCAAAATTTCTTTACTAAAATGTAACCTGGAAGAGGGTATGAGGAGGCCCTGGGACCTGGGGTTTTTTTCTACATAAAGTTTGAAAAGCAAAAAAAAAAAAAAAACTTGATTAAAAAAATAAATAGAAATGTAATAGGCCCAAGTAACAAATTAGCTGTGCTCCCAAAAGCATTCTATAAAGTACTTAATTTGCCAAGATAACCTGGCTGTGTATAGTACTTTATGTTTGCAAAATACTGAGAAAGCCTGAAACAGTCACACCTTTCCTAAGATCCTATTACCGTGTTTCCCCCAAAATAAGACCTACCCATAAAATAAGCCCTAGCAGGATTTCTAAACATTTGCATAATATAAACCATATCCCAAAAATAAGACCTAGTGATGGGTGTGGCTATGCAGCGGATCTGCACGACCCATGCATTTAATCTCGGAGCAGTAAAGAAGATGAGCAGCCCTTCTCATCTGCCCCATGAGCTCTGTTGCTCCACATGAGAGATTGGGGCCAATGGTTCTAAAGGAAATAGAGTCACAAGAAATTCAGGATGGTTAAGATGATGTTCCAGAAGAAGACGACTTAACTATATTTGAATAAATGTAGATTGTTGTACCATACTTAAAAAAAATAACACATCTCCTGAAAATAAGCCCGAAGGTGTCTTCTTGAGGAAAAATAAATATAAGATTCTGTCTTATTTTCGGGGAAACACAGTATTTCACATGAGTCATACAGACAGGAGTTTAATTCTAATCTTATCAAAGATCATTGTGATAGCCAGAGAAGAAGGATATGGGTTTAATTTGAGAATACAACAGCAAAAGGTGCTCAGGACCTATAATACTTAAAAAACATTTTCTGAAAAGAAATTGAGCAATTTAGAAATAAATTTCACAGGAAGGACCTAAAAAAGAGTTGACCTTGTGACCCACATATTTTTTAAGAAGGTTAAAATGGACACCAGAATTTATCTTTAAGCCTGTAAGTCTTAAGAAAGGGCAAACATATAACAGGAAATATATGATGGTTATCACATTTTATCCTTAAGCCAAATACCAACTGGGAGCACGTTTCCCCTTACTGCCTCTGCCAGAATTTTATGTAGTTGGCAGAGCTCATGAGGTACATTACAAATTTCTCTGAAGTAGCCGATAAAACAGCTGTTGAGAGAAGATACATGGTCTAGGCATTGGGTCATCTGAGAATTCAACCCTTACGTTTCACTGACTTGCTCTCCTGTTGTATACCCACTTCTCTCGCCAACTTGGGTGGAAGACTTGAATGTTCTGCAAAGGTTCTCTGATTTTTCCATGATGTTTGGCAGCTGACTCACTTTATGCCAAATCTATTGGGTTTCTAAGCATCCAGAATGACAATGCCAGCTGATGGGGCCCAGGGTAGGCTCAAGGGTAGAGGGTGTTTCTACTCTCTGCTGTTCTCTGTTTTAGCTCCTGCTCCTCAGAAATGCCATGCTGAATACTTATGGCTCCCACCTGCTGATTTGTGAGTCCAGGTAGCTCAAAACATGTTCTACATTGTTCCTTTCTGTAAGGTTTAGCATAATAACTCTTAAAGCATTAAATTCATCATAGGGGGAATTAGGACAAAGGAAAAGAATATCTTCTTCAAATTTAATTTCCTGACGTGGCTCAAAAGAGCACATATCTATTCACAGCATAACTCTAGTAACTCCATATCAGTGGTTGTCCACCATTTTGTGGTCACAGATTCCTACAAATATTTGACCAAAGCTATAAAACTTCTTCCCCTCCCCTCAACATTTACAAAATCAGATACAGCCAATATTTTGCACTGAATTTTAGAATTGTTTAGAAACTCAGCCTTTTCCTTCCTTCTCTATCACAAAGTCATTTCTGGACCTCAGGAAGAGATTCCTGCTCTGCAAACTATAAAAATCAGCTACAGTGGACTCCCTGTCTCTCTTGAGCTAATATGTATTTTTGCTTTTATACTTCATTCTTTATAGTAGGCATCCAGAGAGGGAATGACGTATATTTCTGGTATAGTTCATGTGTTATCTTTTTGTTGTTTTTCCCCCTTTCCAAATATTATTTTGAGTTGATATAAGGTTCCATTATAGAAGAGATGTAAAAAGATTTTTAAAAGAAAGAGAATTCAAACCTTAGTGAATTATTTATTAGTAAGTAAATGAACAAAGGATTACAAATGAGAGTTAAAAAGGGCATATAAAAAATTTGATTGAGGAGGATATCATCAGATCAATAATGGGCCAAAATCACTTTGAAAGCCATCAACATTCCCTGTGTCCAAGACTATGAAATCATAAGAAAATACTTATTTTATGAACATTATCCTCATGATTATCTATAAACCTCCAATATTTTTTGCCCACTGTTCTCTGTGAGACACTGCACAAGGATTTCCTTATTGCTCCTATTAGATTTGGCTATTTTAAATCTCAGTATCTAGACAAAAATAGGTAGATAGACAGACATAAATACTGCATAAATGAATAAATAATTGCACTTACTCCAGACTATTCTGCTTTGGCACAAAAGAACCGTAGTATTTAGCCTGGTATTTAACCTGTTAAAAAATGATAGCTGATTATCTGTTCCTAGACTTAAAGCTAAGGGAAAAAATGCATAAAATGAAAAATATTTTAATAGAAATATAACATGTTTGAAAGAAATTGGAAGCAGCCATAAGTGTTTTTGTTTACAAATCTTGCTTTCAGTAAAGAAGTAACTCATACTTGCTTTCAGTAAAGAAGTAACTAACTTTCAGTAAAGAGTAACTTAGAATCTTAAAAATATGTGCATATTCTCATCTTATACCAAAAAAGTGAGTTGGTGGACAAAGAGGTCATATTTGAAGACGTTAAAATACTCGGATCACAAGTGCACTTACTAGAGATTTCTCACAGTGGCATCTGGGATGCTAATCATCTTACTATGAGAAGGTAGAAATAGCAGTTATGTCAGACAGGAATACAGTTTAAGTGGCTCTATTTTTCCCCTCAAAGACTGGAGTATACCATTACCAAGTCATCAACAAATATTTTAATCCTCTTTAGAAGCAGATGCATGTTAAACTATTTAGGTATATCATTTTCTGTTATTGGATGACCTAAATTGCCAGCAGGAACAAATACATGTAATAGAATCATACTGTGCTAGAAAATGTTTAGCTACTTAAAAAGAAAAAATGTTAGAACCTTATCTCACCAATACACCAAAATAAATCCAAGATAGATTAAATTTTTCAGTGGAAATCATTAATACACTAGAATATAGGTAAATATTTAAATATCTGGTTGGAGAAAACTTTACCCCAAAACACCAAAGGAAAACACCAGCAAGAAACAGAATAATTAATTGAACTATGAAAAATGTTAATATATAGGTAAAAGCAACACAAATAAAAAAATTAATGGAGAAAATAACAACTGGGAAAATTTTTTCAATATAAATGGCATACACAAGGAACCATGTCCTTGCTATATAAAAAGCTTTCACAAGTTATTAACATAAAAATTGAATTTCCAAGAGAAAATAGCAAGAAGTTATAAAGAGGTAATTCAGGAAAGAAGAAATTAAAATGAACAATAAATACATTTTTAAATGCTCCATTTTAATAATCAAGGAAACACAGATCAAAGCAATGTTCCATATTCTTCACATATAGAATTAGCAAAGATTTCTAATACACAGTGCTGTCAATGATGCAAAAAAAATAAT